GCAGTTCTGAACCCATCTAGGATTTGGGGAGAGAGTAAGAGGTTAGCAACTCTCCTCACAAGAAAGTCTCACACCTATACTCAATGAAATTTAGGTCGAGAGAGCATGCTTTCCGTTTCATTGGACTGTAATTTCTGCTTTTAGACGAGCAGTATGAGGGCGGCTATTCTCTGCTTGCAAGGTTAAGGATCGCCATTTGCGGCAGAATGCGGATGAATAATAGGATCCAGTATGTCGGGAGATTCTCTGTTCCTCTAAGCACTGAGTGTTCGCTGTTTGGCAGCATATACAGATCTGTGCGCCCATCTAAAGCTACTCCTCCCCATGCATGAACACTACCTCCTGCATTGGGTATCCTTTTCCCGTATGTTAAATGCTATCGAATGTTTGCTTTTTACCTTATTAAACGCGTCGAGAATCACTCTCTAAAGGCCTATGGCACTCATTATTGAGCAGAACAGACTTCCAGTGATGATGAACAGATGTGTCGCCCAGGAATTGTTAGGTATCGCTTCATGATGGCCTGATTCGATTTTTATTTAGGCAGTTATTTCGAATCTCTGCGATGGAAACGATGATTTCTCACGTTTTCTTCTCCGAAATGTTTAATCGTCTCTACAACTTTGCCTCTATTTTGGAACTTTTATAACTGTATTTTGCCATTATGGATGCCAGTCCATCACACTAAATGGCACAAATATTTTTTCATTTATACATCAAACATTGATGTTTTCTATTTTGAACTTTGCTAAAAACACAAAATCTTTAATTTTCACGCGTCCTTATAAATAGCTAGTTTCGAGAATGCTACCACTTAGCGATATTTAGTTGGTCTTTCATATGATAACTGCTTAACAATTTGACCGATTTAAAAGTAATAAACGCAATTGTTAATCATTTAAATCTTTCTTTTCGTCAAGAATTACTCTTAAATAATAAATGTTCTTAACAGCATGTATTTCGTACCTCGGGGCAAAATCTTTTTTTATTATTTATTTGGTATAAATAATAATAATTATTAAATTGTTGTAACCCACATAGCACAAAAACATCCTTGGGATATCCTAAGGATGTTGCTCACGGGATATGCACACATCCTCAGGACATCCCGGAATACCCCCGAATCTCCTAAACACATCCTCCCGAGTGCTTAATGTCACATCCCAGTATATCCTCAGGACATCCTAACAAAATCCCATCGACAGCGTACGGGATGTTATTAGGATCTGAACTACTTACTACATCCTCAGGAAATCCCGGGATATCCCACTAACCTCCTAAACACATCCCTTTATATCCTAAAAACATCCTATCTATGTCCCATCGACAGCGTATGGATGTTATTAGGATTTAAAGTCCTTCTTACTACATTCTCAGGACATCCCGTAATATCACAGTTTCTTCCTAAACTCATCCTCCCGAGTGCTTAATGTCACATCCCAGTATATCCTTAGGACATCCTACCTAGATCCCACCGACAGCATATGGGATGTTATCAGGATTTGAAATACTAGTTACAATACATACTCTCACCTCTTAAATACGTACTCTCAACTGCTTAATGTCACATCCCAGTTTATATCCAGGAAACTTCCTTACATTCCAGTAAAAGTATGTGAAGGTGGGATGATCTAAAACCTACTTATTTTACACAGTCTCAAATCCTTCTCCTATGGTTACTATGGAAAAATATGAGAAATGTTGAGAATATTTATAAAACTTATTTTTTTCTTAAATCTGAATTTCAATTTATGTAATAATTTGTAAATACATTAAAACTGAACAAGGAACTTAAATTAATTATTGATAATTTTTAAACATACAATAGCCCCAAACTGAAGTATTCATAATTAAATTATTTTACAAAATCAATTTATAATTACAGTTAATTTGTATTAAAAATTCAATAATAAAATAAGTGATAATCAGATAAAGAGTTTCGTGTAATGTCCAACAAATTACATGAATATCTCTATCTGATTTATTATTTAAGATCTGTAAGATATGAAAAATATACAACTGATTTTTATGAGTATTTAATTTGCCGTATTAAATTTAATTTAATGGATTGTTTGAATTTTTTAGATGAGAAATGCAGTTGCGGAAAAAACTATTTGGTTTAATTTTTTTCCCGAATTATAATAATATCAAGCGGAAATTAAACTGAATTTGCCTATAGAATCAACTTAAAAAATTCCTGATATTTATATGATTCTTTTGAAATAAAAGTATTTGCAAATTTACTATTTGAAGTTTTGTATCTCATTTATTATATCCAGGCGTTATATGTATTCAAAATTATTTTCTTCTTCAGGCATCTTTTGGCATCAGCTTGTTGCTTTTGGATGACATCAGCTTGAGACTTGGTCTTTTCACTCTAGGATGCTCTCCAGGTGGAAGTATGAGCAATTTCTGGACTCTGCTGTTCAACGGGGATGTCAACCTGAGCGTAACCATGACGTTCATCAGTACCATTGCTGCTCTAGGTCCATATCATTCTAATTATTTTTCCTTATTTCTGTTAAATAGATTGAAGATACTGCACGATAGAGCCATGAAGTGTATAAAATACTCCTTCTTTGTAACCGTGTATAAACTTTATTTAAAATGTCACTTCTTCTATGCTATTTAAAATTGTCGTAAATTTAATGAAATGAAGGAATATATGAAAGAATTTAAGTCTTGAGTTTTAAAAAAAAATATGCTAATTATTCTTAAACGAAAGTTTGCTGTGCATTAATAATAATTAATGCAGTTCAGATTGAGTAATTTTCTCAGGCATTGGAGTATTTATAACTTTTGTTTCTAATTTGCAATTAATTTTATAATCCAACTTTAAGTTCTAACTTAAGATTAACGTAAAATCTAACTTAATATTTAAGTTCTAACTTTTTTAATAATTAAAATGAGAGAATTGGCAGTAAGAGAAATTTTGAAATCATCTTTATAAACGGTAATTATTACTACCGAGAAATTTCTTACTTGGAAAAAAAAAATGTAATGATGTTGCTTAACACTTTTTTTAAAGTTTGCTTATACAGAGCCATCAAACAAGATAGATGTGATTTTAAATTACTGTTATTATGCTTTATCAAAAATAAATCTTCTGAATTTTTATTGGAAAATAACTAGAAACAATTTTAGACTGTAAGGACGGGCGAAATTACTTCAAATTTATGTTGAAGCTTTGCTCAGTAATAACGTTGTCACCGCCTTAACGCCTCACAGCCAGTTTACATGAAGTTGGTGAGCATAAAGTGGACGAACATACAACAAAAAGCCCAGTACATGTTGTGGCATTTTGAATTTAAGTCCGTAATAACTGCTCAACTCTATGTTTTGCGAATTTTTCAGGCAGAACTGTCTGCTGCAAAATGATCGCTCATTGTTTCTACAATGATACCAGGCATGGTCCAGTGGGCGGGAGTGAAAAGAGAATACCGCATTGATATCTGCCAGGGCAACCGATGAATTCATATAGAAATTTACTAATCCGCATAGCCCCAAAACCACCTCGAACTATTCTGAATATGCTACTGATTGGCTCAGCACATATTCACAGAACATCCTGAAAGATCCGTCCAAATTCCTGAAACAGACCCTCCCTAGTGCTGAATTTCACATCTCAATCCTCTTCTCCCTAAAGCACGGGATGTTATGAGGATCTTCCAGATATCTTTCAGGATATCCTAGAATATCCCTAATACATCTTTCCGTGAACTTATATTAAGATCCCAGATATATCCACAGGACATATTGGAACAAGTTTCCATAAATAACATCAATAGAAGAACTGAAAATAAGTATTTCCAGAATGTTTGATGACGGAAGTCTTTCGGAAAATGTAATTAAAATATCCTGAAGATGCCAAATAACGAAATTCTAAAGACATCTGAGAGTCATTATTTTCAAAATATTACCCGGGTCACAGCTATTTAGACGAAACTTCCTCAAGATGTTAATTTGTGAAGTTCTGAGGTCATCTGAGAACCGAAATCTTCAGAATGTCTTTAACAGGACATCTTAAACTTGCAACTTAAACGGGGCATCCTCAGAATATTCTGTGTTCTAAGGAAATTATATGGTAAAATTTTTTAACTTTCTTTTTAATTTTGCAATAAAATTTGTTAAGCTATCTGAAGTATTTTTTTTAAATAAAACTATTTAAAATCAAGTCCACCTTTTTTGATATATCTCTATTTAATGTATTGATTAGAAAAATAATCTTTTAGGTTATAAAGCCATATTTCATAAAAAAAAACGAAATTAATTTTCTCTGTAGAAAGGAACGCCTAATGTAGGCGAAATATTTCATTTCCAAAACACACATACCATCCTAAGTTTCATAATATCGTATTTTCAAATGTTAAATCGTGTATCTGTTGAATGTCAACTTCAAGGCGAAAATTGATTATCTTCAAACTACGAAGTTTCATTTTATACATGACAGAAACATAGATGCAGCTATGAGTTTGAAACAACAGCTAGAGAAATATTTCACATAAACGATATTGCCATTGACAGTATGCTGTGTCATCTTTCTTTATTGCAACTATATTTTTTTTCTCAACGTTGGAAAAAAGAACAATGGATCTCCCGTAGCATTGTTAGAGAACAATCATATTACCATGAGTAAAATACGCTTTTTGTGCAGGTGCTGGCATAACTTTCTTTTGTTAATGTCCATTTGCTTATAAGCGTGCTATAAACTGTTAAGGTATGATTTATAGTCAGACAAGAACATGTTTGGAAGTAATCACGAATTGGCTATAAAAAAATTACTGATTTACTTTGTAAAAGACAAAATTGTAATTTAATATATAAATTCATACGGCAATAATTGTTCAATTACTTTTAACCAAATTAAAGGAAGAATTTCTGTTTAGGCATGTATTGCAAACAGGCAGCGACATTAAGGATTAGCATGAGCAGGCGTTATAAAAATTGAAGTTTAACTAATTTAACTAGCATGACTGAAAAAAAATAAAAAAATAGCAACAAGATCTGTGCATCTTAATTGCACTATTTACACAATTAAATTACTATTATTGATACATGTTGTTTCAACAGATTTAGCCAGTTGCTATATTTAACACGATGATCAGAAAAAGATATTCTTTAGAATTAAATACTTTAAAAGACTACTTAATATTAATGGTATAATTATGCATTATTATTATACACGAAATATTCGTATAATTGTTTAGTAGCCTAAATAAATGCTTTGTCTTAATAACTACTATCTAATTGCGTTTGATTTTTAATAGAATAGCAAAGTTGGTTTCTGCAGTTAACTTTAGTCGTAACTATAACTTGATTTTAGTGATAATTATCAGATATTAATGAAAATAAAATAGAGCTGATGTCCTATCTATAAATATAAATTTTTTTATTCATAATTAGCTCAAAGAGCGTTAGCCTGGATGGGCTGTTAATTTCAAAACAGCATTTTGCGTCAATTCACTTTTCAAACTGTTGCCACAAAATATTATCGCCTTGTATTATATTTAAAGAAACTAAATAATGAAGAATCTGCATGAATGTGTGAATGTTTCACGCATTGTAAAGAAACAACGGCATCTAGAACCATCAAATTTTGAATAAAGTAGTTAGTTCTCCAACCGAACATGGACTCTCCAGAAGCCCGAATTTTGAATTTGTTTTATTATCTATTTAAAATTTTGTAAAATTTTAACTAATTTTTTTATTAACAAAAACTTAACGATTTCAAAGCGAGCAATGGAAACACTGTACGGAAAGAAATATTTTTATCTCCAGCGTGCGAGACTGAGTATCGGAAATTCTAAAGATATGCTATTTTGCTGTTTTTAAATATTTTGTGATAGTATTGCTGAATGGCATTTTACGTGTTTTAAGTGCGAATAACATGATATTTAATCAATCGACAAACGAAACGTTAAAAAAGCGCCTTTTGTGAATAATATAAATTCTGAAAGCTTTCAAATTTTTTTTTTAAATTTTTTGTTAAGCTTAGAATAATAAAAAGATTAATAACGGCATCTACTTTGATAAGAAGAATATAATTTGCAGTCGATTCAGACGAAACAGTATAAATACATTAAAAGGGTTCTGTTTTGTTTGTAGATATAATAATTACATATCTTAAGAGGCATAACAATTAATTACATATCTTATACTAACTCTACTTTCTGAATGACTTAGAGATAGAATACAATAGTGTATTAATACAACAGTTTGACAAAACAACTTTGCTTGGAAAAACGTTTGACGAGAAATGATGAGGAAAAAAGTATCCAACAACTTGTTAATACGATTTGATGATTCTTACGGGTGAACTCGATGTTAAACATAAATGCTTAAAACATTATTCCAATAAGTGAAGAAGATGAAATGCATAGGTGGAAAATGAAGTAAGTAACATGCAAGTAATGAGACTGAAGTAAGTAATAAAATAAGTAATACGAGATTGTAATTCTAGATTAAAGTGACTTATTTGTGTTTTTAGAAAAGTAATTAACACGTGTTGAATATGAAAGAAAATTATAAGGTTCAAGGTCTAAAACGTTTAACTGAATGCATTTAAAAAAAGGGTCCTGAAAATGAAATTACGAATTCTTTAATCAATATTCATCATACTATGAAAAATAAAAGATTTGCTTTACGAGTAGGTGTGATCCTATGAGACCTTTTATCAATACCCGTAATAATAACTGGATTTTTGGTATGTTTGAAAGAATTAAAGGGATTAAAAATCGTGATCGTTATATATTTTAAGGACAGTATCTTCATTTCAAGAATATCAAAAGTAATTTTGAATTTCATTAGCATTTTCAGTTTTGAAACAAAGAGTGCACAAAATATCCATTTCATCATCTCTATTAGCTTGACAAGAGAAGGTATGAATATTTTGTGAAGCTTTCTGTATGCATGTGCTTCGCCGGTTTCCTTTAAACACGCACAACCAATAGCAAAAACGGAAATCTCTCCTGTAAGCATGCTTCCAATCATCATGTTGGTTTAATCCATCAGCGACTTCGAATCTCATTCACATGATTTTTGAACCAGGGTCTTTTTGTAAATACAGTCTTTGACATCACAGCCTTTAAGAATCACAAAATTTGTGTGATGATCTTGCATACCATAATAAATTTGTATTTTGTATCTGGTTGAGACTGCAAATCAATGAGATATACCTGAAAATGGGAATCAAATTCATAAAAATCATAAGAATTTTTTTTTTCTATGCGTGACGATGCCTTTTTTTAATACTTTTATGTTTCTTCCTGGCAAACCATCACAAAAGTGGATGTGCAGCTCATGACGCGTAACATTTTTGTGTTTGACTGAAATTTATTTTAACATTCTGTCACGTCGTCGATGTCAAATGAGCTTCAAGTATGAAAAACAACTCCCGTCAATATTATCCAGGTCACATGACCTGGATAGCACTGACGTCTTCTTTAACAGGCAATTTTCCACAAACATCACATCATAACAACTCAGA